ATGCAAACTCCACGCAGTAAGATCCCGGGTGTCCTCACCTGGACATGAACCAGCGACCTTCTTGCTGCGAGGCAACAGTGCTAACCACTGAACCACCTTGCAGCCCTAAATACACAATATAAATGAGAAAAACAGAGGAACACAAGGATACTAGAACACAAATTTAAGAATATTTGCATGAATGAATATATGAATGGGCTGCAAGGTGGCGCAGTGGTTAGCAGTGTTACCTCGCAGCAAGAAGGTCACTGGTTCACGTCCCGGTGAGGGCACCCGGGATCCTTATGCATGGAGTTTGCATGTTCTCCCCGTGCAGCGTGGGTGCTCTCCGAGTTCTCCGGCTTCCTTCCAAAAACATGTTGAGGTTAATTGGTGATTCTAAATTGTCCGTAGGTTGTCTGTCTCTCGGTGTAGCCCTGTGATAGACTGGTTACCTGTCCAGGTGAACCTGCCTTCACCCTGAGTCAGCTGGGATAGACTCCAGCCCCTCATGACCTTAGTGAGGATTAAGCGGTGTATAGATTATGGATGGATGGTATATATGAATTTGTACTTTTTACTTGTTTTACCACCAAAAAGAAGAACCTTTCCTGCTCATAAAACTCGTTATAATTCACACAGTTTTGTTGTACGTGTCTAGAAAAGAACTTAAGCCAGTGACAGGCAAGACTGCTCAACGTCTTAACTTGTTATGAGTAGAGCTCCGGTGACTACTGGATGTGTGACCGGCTGGCTGTTAGAACAAAGGTGAGCTGATCCAATCCATGTAACGGTGACATGGCTCAAGGCTGACCTCATTAAGCAGATCAGATACTAACCAGAGTGGCTGAATCAGAAATAAACAGTTTAAAAGTCATTGTTTGTTCTGTCAGTTACATAGATCAAGTCCCAACTGGCTCGGTTTCGACTGCATCAATAATCCTTGGACTTAACGCGGTGTGTTGTTCTGCATTTCGTTAAAGATGCCGTCGGGACAGAAAAAAGATTCATCTCCAATTATCCCCAGTTAGATGTGGTGGCTCATTTCCAGTCAGCAGCTTCTTGACTGTGACCAACTTTATCAACCTGAATGTGCCTGAGGGTTCGTTACACCTCACGGTCCGAGAAGTCGTCCTTGGAAAAGAGCAGCCCACTTTCAGGAAACACTTAGCAGGTGATTGCGTGAACAATCTGTTGATGAACGTCTCTCGGGAGCCGACTGAAACCCTGATTGGTCAAAACCAAGCGTGGATCGATCGTAAGCACGTCGTTTGAAGCCCAGCGAGATGGATTGCGAAAAATCCAGCTGTCTGTTGCAGAGTGACTCACAGATTGGATAACAAATATGATATAAGATGATTAATACATGATCATTTTATATGGGCAGAAACAAACAATACAGTAACAACCCAACATATAACATTTATGTTCTGGGCTCATGAAATTACAAAAAAAACAGCAACCCAGCCAGACGGCATCACTCCCTGCTCTCGTTTAAACCTCTGCTATCGATTTTTCTCCCCAGACTCCGAGTTTGACGTCAACCAGGCATATTTCCCAAAGCGTTGCGTTACTGCTGGATTACATTTTCTTACAAATAGGATTAAAAACGAGACTGCCGTGGTCCTGCGAGGCGGTGTTACACACCGCAGACCGACTGTTGTCACTTTCCAGGTGGGCTGCACGTCCCAGACGGCCTTCATCTGCTGACACGGAACACGCACGCTGTCATGTTGTTGTTATTTTTACGCGTACGCAGTCGGTTGTAGCGCCTCTGATGTGGCCTGCGCTGTCCACTTCAATAGCTCAGCTTTGTCTAATGAGATAGTAAAGAAGCCTGGAGCAGCGAGGATGTCTGGGACAATCACTGCAACAGGAACTTAACAGCCCGTGTCAGACGGCAATAATGTAGACGGAGAAGATAACACCGTAGGACAGAGAGGAAGTATTACATCTCCAATGACGCCGCTGCCTCAGGTCACTGTTAATCTTACCTCCTCCTCAGATCAAGAGCTGAGGTGCTCAGGTTTTGTCGTCATTACATGTCGCTTCTGTAATCATTCAAGTAAGAAACAGAATTTTCTTAAAATGTCAAAACATATTGAACTTTCACACACAATAAAAAAAACTTTCCAGGCAGTCAAAGCGGTTTCAGAAATAAAAAAAGAACTACACGTAGATTGATCGTCTTTCTGCACGCTCAACATTTGTTTTTATTATTTTCCAGCTGGACAATGTGAACGACTTGCTGCAGGAACTGTCCTCCACCTCAACCTCAACCTCAGCCGCGACCTCAGACACAGACTCTTCCGGAGAGGAGTCAGGAGGTGAAGAAGACAAGAAAGCAGAGGCTGTAGATGAAAAGGACGAGGCTGAGAAGGCGAAGCTTCCCCAATATATCAGCAGGTTCAAGGTGGGTTTGTTGTTTCAAATGAAGGGTCTTTCCATCTCAAATCAGCATTTTTTTAGAGCAAGTTCTACTTGACCTTTTGTAGTTTACCTAAAAAAAAATTAGCATGAATTATAGATATTTATAAGATATTTTTGAACATTTAGATCGTTTTTTTTTCTCAAGTTGAGATTCGAGACTGTGTTTAGGCGACAATATCTCAGGAACTATTAATGATAAAAGCCTGAAAATTTAAATAGTTCCCACATTAAAAAAAAACAAAAACACTCTTAGTTATATTTGGAGAACCAGTTGTTTCAGATTTTAAAGTGTTCTGTGTTTCTTGTTTTGTGTAATCATGAAATTCAACTACATCCGGTTTAGAAAAGTCGACGAGTTGACGTCTACATCGTCAGGTTTCTTGTTCATGTGAGCTCAAAGATGGGACTTTCATGCAACTTCAGTTATTTTTTTCATATTTCAACTAATCAGATATAATTTGCTCTTCTTGTCCAGTATTGCAGATTCCGAATCAATGACATGATGAGAAATAACAGTGAAAATTTCAAGTTTTTATCTTTAATATTTCTGAGATATTGTTGTTCAAACAACCTCAAGTTTTAATGTGGGAAAAAAACATGCTTAAGGTGGCTTGACTGTCAATTTTTTAATATTATCTCAGAAAGTATTTGATAAATCAAGCTAAGACTCCACAGATACCATTTTAAATATCCATACTTTATGATAACAAAGCTTCGAGATGATTGAAGATGTGCAACTGAACAACCAGTTCATCATCGGTTTTCCTTGAACTTGTCATAAACAAACAATAATTCCTGACTTTGTAACTCAGAAGTCAAATTGTAGTGAGCTGCATACTGTGGGTTTTGGGACTGATTAAAATTTCATTAGCTAAATACCTTTTACACAAAGCCTGAGCACACAATCAAGACAGAGAATTAAAACTCCTCTGACTCTTCTTGATTTAAAAAGAAACTAAAAAAAAGGTCTGCTTTGGAGAACCGGATGCTTCCAAGAGCGTCATTATTGGTTTTGTACCCAGTGGCTTGTAATAATAAAATCAAACAGCCTCTGGGGTGCAGCCTCTGTCATCTTGAGATAATATCCTGCTTTTCTCCACAAAACCGCCTTTTTTCAGAAACGGCCGTCATTTAGTGATTCACCTGCGAGGATACATCGGCGCTTCAGTAATCGACGGTTAAACGGAGCTGCTTTAGTGTCTTCACCTCGCTGCTAACGCTGCGTAAACGGCGCTCTTTAAATAAACATAATTTCTGTTTACATTTACTCACCGTGCTCGTGTTGAATTTGTTTCCTTCCTCATAAGGCATTTTCACCCACATTTTCAGCTTCTTTCCTGCCTTTGTTGGTGCGTTAGGATTTCTGACACGTTCCCACCACCTGTGGATCGTGTGAAGCCATGAGCAGGAATGTGGATTTCATCGAATGCAGATGTGTGCGTTCATGTGCTTCCTGGTGTTCCTATAGTTGGACAAAGAAAACACAGCCCCACTTAGAGAGAAATGGCTCCATAGTGGTTAAAAACTCATTTAAGGTGTTTGACTGGTAAAGTTCGTTTATTTAATATGTGACACCAGCCAGTCAGAGTGGTCGACTACAAGAAGCTTTGATGCTGTTTGCAAATCTAATTCATTATCTGACATACATAGATACACAGGTTCAAAATGGGCGGCTCTGGCTCAGGTGGTAGAGCGGGTTGTCCTCTGATCGCGAGGTTGGTGGTTCCATCCCCCGCCCCTCCACAGTGTCCTTGGGCAAGACACTGAACCCCAAGTTGCTCCCAATGGCAGGCAGCACCTTGCATGGCAGCTCTGTCGCCATTGGTGCATGAATGTGTGTGTGAATGGGTGAATGAGAAACACATTGTAAAGCGCTTTGGATAAAAGCTATATAAGTGCCGACCATTTACCATTTAAAACATGTCCCTGGAAACTGTTTGGAAAATAGCAACCACTGTCAGGAAACACCTCACAGGTGATTGGAGTAACCATCAGTCGATCAACGTCTCTCAGGGGCTACCTCACATCTGAAACCTGATTGGTCAAGATTAATAGCCATAGTAATAGTAACAGTAATAGTAATAGTAATAGTAATAGCCACATTGTTTGAAGCCCGGCAAGCTGAATCCATCCATTATCTATACACCGCTTAATCCTCACTAGGGTCACAGGGGGGGCTGGAGGCATGATCGATTATCTCAGATTTTCCCAAAAATGTTACAGTCTCAGGCTGCAAGGTGGCTCGGTGGTTAGCATCGTTGCCTCGCAGCTAGAAGGTCGCCGGTTTGCGTCCCGGTGAGGACACCCAGGATCTTCCTGCGTGGAGTCTCCATGTTCTCCCCGTGCAGCGTGGGTTCTCTCCGGGTCCAGAAACATGTTGAGGTTAATTGGTGATCCTAAATTATCCGTAGGTGTGAATGTGAGTGTGCTTGGTTGTCTGTCTCTCGGTGTGGCCCTGTGATAGACTGGTTACCTGTCCAGGTGAACCTGCCTTCACCCTGAGTCAGCTGGGATAGACTCCAGCCCCCCGAGTGAGGATTAAGCGGTGTATAGATAATGGATGGATGTTACAGTCTCACAAGAAGAGTGATGCACAAATTAAACAAGAACACATGACAGATGCCTACCATCATTTCATATGGGCACAAATACAGACACAAACAATACAGTAACAAAGAGTGCAATGCTGGATGCTGAAGTTCTGTGATTGTGAAATTACAGGATGTAGCAAAATTGAGAAAACAACAACAACAGCAATAAACACAGCGCTGCCAGACAGAATTACTCACTGCACTCATTTAGACTTTCGTTATTGATTTTTCTCTCCAGGCTGTGAGTTTGACGTCAAACAGGCATATTTCCCCACAGATGTACAGGTTTAAAAACTTGTGCCAATCATCTAAGTTTTGTGGCTGATAGGAGCTTTGTTAGGTTTTTAAAAAAAAGCCACCTGACTGTTAAACATCGTTAATACCTGAACTTCTCAGTAGCACACGTTTGAGACCTTTTTTTTTCTAGTTTCTAAAATGAAACGTGGATTCTCAGATTTCTTTATTAAAGGTTTAATAGACCGAAACTCCACATCATCAATCCCTTTTGAGATTTCAGGAATGTTTTTAGAGAAACGTGAGCATTTTGAAATGTATTGAATTTGGAAGTCATTTAAACGAAGCGATGAGAGTTACTGTTCTGCATTTCACCTTTTCTTGTGTACCTGCCTCTCTAGGAGCTGAGCAGCCAGCTGGAGTCTCAGGGTAAAGTGGAGGCGGCCTCCTTCCAGGATTTAGTGACCGCTCTGGCCCAGCAGAACCTGGCTGCTGCAGAGACACTGGACCTGGAGCAGTACCAGAGCCGGGTGCAGGCCTGGGATGCCGAGAAGAGGCAGCTGAGCCAGAGAGAGAAGGAGATGAGAGAGAAAGGTGCGCAGGAGAAACGGGAGCGATTAGCTGCCAGGGCTGCAGCTAAGCGGAAAGCGAGTCTATCAGTAAACTGACCGCTGAGTCTGTACGTTAAAGCTGTGTTTATAATATCAACATTACATCTGCTCGTGTCTCCAGTTACTTTTGTAAATAACTGTTGTGTGCTTTTGTGCTGCTCTGTTTATAGAACAGGGCTAATACGAACATCGAAATAAAACAGATTTCATTTGTAACAGAAGTTCCGTCTCACATTTATTGTTTTTCTGTGCTGCGCTATGGCGTGATATCACTGGAACGTATGTCAATTGTTAAACCCGACGGTCGGGTGACCTCATGTAAGCAACAAGAAGGGAAAGCTGGGGAGAGATCGTACCGCCACATCCTCCCACTCCTTTTCCTCTCAGCCTGCAGTCGTCTTTTGTCGCTCGCTCGTTTGTTCGTGTGTTTTCTGTGTGTGCGCGTCTGTCAAAAGCATCTTTGGAAGTTTTTCTCACAGGGTGGAAATGAAAGGGTTATTGCACAGAGGAATTTGCTGATAACCAATCTGGAGAACACCAAATTCTTCCCCTGGAAAGGAATGCATTTATGAGCAGAAATCTTTCCGTTCACAAAGGGAAACATAAATAGCGCGGTATAGATCCTGATAACCGTAAGAACACACACTGAGAGCACTTTGGTTTGTGTTAATTAGTTAAAATATCTGCATGAGAGTGCAACATCAGCCAACACACAAACAGCACTTTGGTATAAACTGCACATTAACTGGCAAACAGAGCAAATCCAGGGTTGTTTTGGCTCTGCAAAAAGATAAGATAATAGATCTTGGGGGGAAGAAAGTACCGTTGTGGTGGTGCACACAGTGCATTCATTCCACATTATGTTGCAGCTATTCAGTATTCAGAGCACGGTCTTGGGAAACAGCCTGATATGCAGTCCAGGATGAATGAGCAGCACAAAACGCTGAAACAAGAACCATTGTGATCCTGAGGCTCCTCGCTGGCTGCTTTCCTGGGAGCAGCTCTGCACTCATCGTCTGTGTTTTCTTAATATCGTTAAATGTTGTTACGTATTCAGTCCTCTGTAAATATCATAACATGGACGTGTTACTTCTAATCCCCGTCTGAAATTAGGCCACAAGCCACACACACACACACACACACACACACAACAATCTCCACTAAAGCCCTGTTTACTCACTTGGAGCTGTTTGTAAATTCAAATTTTGCTTTTTTAAAAAAAATATGACATAAGTGGAGATGAAATGGCTTAATTAAATCGAGCTGCACCATGAGTGAGGTTTGTTGTTTCTGAATGTTAGACTCTCAGCTGGCAGCTCTGACCTGCCAGAGTCGAGTTAGCAAGTCTTCTTTTGTTATGTTGCCATCTTAGTCTAACGAGTTTTCCCAGTTGAAGGATAAATTTCTGAGACAATAATATAAACACATGAGAGCGTTTCATTTCAACATTCAAATCCATCCATCCATCATCTATACACCGCTTAATCCTCACCAGGGTCGTGGGGGCTGGAGTCTATCCCAGCTGACTCAGGGTGAAGGCAGGTTCACCTGGACAGGTAACCAGTCTATCACGGGGCTACACTTAGAGACAGACAACCAAGAACACTCACATTCACACCTACCGAGAATTTAGAATCACCAATTAACCTCAACATGTTTCTGGACTGTGGGAGGAAGCCGGAGAACCCGGAGAGAACCCACGCTGCACGGGGAGAACATGGAGACTCCACGCAGAAAGATTGCAGGTGTCCTCGTTGGGACGCGAACCGGCGACCTTCTTGCTGCGAAGCGACGGTGCTAACCACCTGCACCACCTTGCAGCCTTGAGGCCAATAAGTGATGCTGTAAATGAACCTTTGCAAACCTGTAAAATAAATCAGCCTGACCAATTCTCGTCGGTGCACATGTAGGAAAGATTTTTAATTGTATATGTCTTCACACATTTTCATCAGCGGAAACAAAAAGACACTTAAAAACATATCGTGTGTGGAGTTGTCTGGATAAAAAAGTGGTCGGCAGGCAGACTCAAAGATTTTATTTTACATTGCTCCTCCATTCATGCGAGACTAAAAATCTCAAAATTAACTCAAAGCTACTCAAACTAATATCACATTTCAGCAGCACAGCCTCATCTCTCTCCCTCTAGGAAACTAAAGCTCTACCCTCTTTTATAGGTCGCTCAATTCACACCTTGCTCATTTCAGCCCTACCATCACACAGCATGGTAGCCTGTTCTGTAACCTTGATGCAAACAGATCTACAAACAGCATCACTGTACACACTACAAACCTGTTGCCATTTCTAAATGTCTCCCTTAAAGCTAAACATGTGATGTCAATGCTGACTAAACCCTTTTCATACAAAAGACACATTTATCAAGAAGGAAAAAAAACCCTCTCCTTGGTCCGACCCAGTGATGTCACTATAAAACCAGGAAGTGCTGGGCCGGCCCACTGCCAATCACAAGGCCTGCATGGTGGGTCAGAACAAATGAATGAAGAAAGGTAAGTTTGAACAAAGAAATGAGAAATGATAGTTCTCGCCCATTTATCACAACATGAGGTGCTTAAAGTACCCCTACATCATGTTTTTGGGTTGTTCAGCCATCCGTCCCACTCCTGTGAGCTCAATGTCTTGAACACTTGCAGGGAATTTCTACATTTACTTGGACTTAAAAATGAAAATGATGAGAATTTGGTGGTCAAAAGTCACTGTGGCCTCACTGATCGCAATGTTTTTTTGGCCATAACTCAGGAATTCATGCACAAATTATGACAAAACTTCACACAAATGTCTAATAGGATACAATGACAGTGACATTTTATACATTTATGTCTTCTATAGTGGACATTTGTTTTTGGTCTATGTCTTTCGACTCATTTGATCTACCCTACTCAGTCCTAATGTGCTCAATAGAGGACATCCTGGCCTTTCCAGTGATATCTCATGTGTTTGGGTGGGATGAGAGGAACTTTGTTTTCATGCCGACACAAAATAGAGACTTTTTTTTCTTTGTTGGTTTTCAGGAGGATATGCAAGAGGTTAATTGTGGACAGGCGTGGATGTAAAGTGCAACTTGACTGGTTGACGATGTACAACCACGAGGCAGTCATTCTACAAAAGCTGATGCATTTGTTTGGTAGTTTTTCCTGCTGCACAGAGAAATATGTGGTTTTGGCTCCAGGAGCAGAATCAATTAATTGCAGCTTTTAATGTTGAATAGAACTTGTTGACATTAAGACAAATATACACTTTTGGCATCATTTTCTTTTAAGTGCGTGTAATTTAGTGGAATCATCATTTTATTCTTGGCTACCCTGGCTAATGGCAGTGATGGTTTTTTTTGTTTTCTTGTAGTTTAATCTGTCGTTTGCTCATTTAGAGAAGAACTCAGATGGAGGATGATGCACTCTAACTTCTCCTCTGGTCAAGGCTGCCTACGCCAAAGTGTAGTTACCACAAAGTAAAAGAAGTTCCACCATCTCTCCAGTATTTGTTGCTCCTGGCTGTAACGTCTTTGATCTGACACTTCACAGATTCACTCCACAGGCTCAGGCCCTTTATTACGGGACGCTTATCTACCAGAGATAACGCTTTTAAAAAAGCGCGACATTGAATTAGCTCTAATCTGCGATGAAAAATGGGTCATTCTCTGTCAGCTCCACATCCTCGAGTTCTCTGGTTACAGAGCAACACGAGTGTTTGCGTTCGTCGCCGTTGTTACAGAAGCTTCTTGTTCGTCTTTTCTGGTGTTTGAGCAGGACGACTGAGCTAACACTGCTGATGAAGTCAACCAAGTGAGACGTCAGGAAGGTTCACATCATCGGTTATGTGATGCCCAGGACCCTTTTAAGTGTTTTAAAAGACCCGTGTGTGTTTTCATTGAGGGGGAGGAGGGCAGTGGGGGTAATTTAAGACATGTAAATATCCCAGAGAGTGAGGAGGCGAGGGGATGCATTAGACATTACTGGTGCTGATCCTAGATAAAGAACACCTGCTACTGTACAAACCTTTTTTATCTCAACCAGAAAACCTTATTTGTCAAATTAAGTTATCTCAGCTGGTAGGGAAATTTCCAACAAAGCCAGCACATCCTCATTTAATCTTTGAGGTTTAGTAGGTGCTATCTCCGAACAGCATGTTCCTCCGAGTCCTCCACTCCCCACGTCTCCCTATTCGCTGATTTTTAATCACATCTAGCAGCAGTTTTTATCTTCCCATGGCTGCAGTTTTTTTGTTTTTCCCCCCCCTTGTCCCATAAATACAAACTATGTGATGTTTTATTTCTTGAGTCAACAGGATTCAGGTCCTATTTTTGATCCCTACGTGTGATTTATATCTGAGATGGGAGACCGCCGTGTGTCTGAGTCCCGCTGTGTGAGGCAGATTAAAGGATAAGATGCTGCTGGTGTTGTTGTTTCTTGGCCGGTCTGACCGCAGAGTCCCCCGAGAGACGTGTTTATTAATCTTTCATTATTCATCAAGGTCAGCTGCTTCATATTTAACATTTTAAAGAGGTTAGTGAAAACAAATACCGTCTAATTCATCCTTCTATTTGTTTAGAGGGCATGTGTGGCTTTTATATGTTCCGACACTTGCTGCATTGCTCACGTATTAAAGTCATAAATTAGGGAGATGTGCGGCGGTGATTAGACGCTGGATTTATGTGCCGTCTCCTTCATTTACCTGGTATTTTCTCATCATCAGCTGATATTTACAACCTTTTTTTCGAGCAATTAAAATGCAAAAACAAGAGTTTTCCAATCAAAAGTTTTGATTGGAAAATGGAACTTTTGATTGGAAAACATGGCGCACCTTATTTCTATGTTTATTAGAGACCTAGTTATATTGTAATTTAGTAGATCATTAATCAAACCATGTAAAAACACCTTCTCAGTCAGTAATAGGCAGGATTAAGTTATGATTCTTTTTTTTATTTTTTTGTATTTTTCAGTACATGTTCATATTCAGAAGGGTCCAAAAGTCTGAGATTAGTGAAGAATATTCTATTTCACATTTGTTTGGAATATAATAAAGTTGTTTTCATTACTTGATCTTGGCAAGAGGAGAAAAAAATGACTGTCTGATATGAATGAAGTGCTGCAAGGTGGCTCGGTTGCACCGTTGCCTCACAGCAAGAAGGTCGCCGGTTCGCATCCCGGTGAGGACACCCGGGATCTTTCTGAATGGAGTCTCCATGTTCTCCCCGTGCAGTGTGGGT